TACTCTAATTGTTTTGCTTTTTTCCTTTGCTGGCTGAGCAGTGACCCTGTAACTTTGGCACTCTAATGCGGAGATGGAAAATTACTACCTTAAGTTTCCTTTATTTTGGGAAGCAGTTGGCTTCTCTTTGGAGTATAAATGATATTTAAAAACAAGGAAGCCTGATACAAACAATCCAGGAGACTGGCTTTTTCTAAAACCACGTTATCGGTGAACTCTCGTTTCTGTGGAGTGTGACAAGCACGTAAGCACAGTTTCTTGGAGTGCCAAGGGTCTATCGAGAGAAAGTTAGGCAAAGGAGCACAATTTATGTGTCCAGCCTGACTACAGAACAGTTCTGATGCCATGTTTTTCTTCTCACACTCAGCCCCTTCCCTGTGCTTCTTTGGGTAGACTATTACAATCATAAGAGGTATAAAGAAAGTAAGCAGGTATTTAAGTAGCTCACTCAGCAGGTATGGAAGGACTCCTATGGCTAACAGGATGTGTCTCTTCCAGAAAACAATCATTTTCACTGGTTTTTTTCCCCCCTCTGAATAAGGATTCTTCCCTGGAAAAGTTGCTATTTATGATGAGAGATCAGTTGACCTATCATTAATCATCAGGATATTCAAGAGGCTGATGCAAATCCTTGCTAGATGCCTACTTTCATTCCTTCAAACGTCTAGAGAGAAAACTTGGCTAATATTACTGTAGGAAAAACTGTGTAATGTGTTAATTGTATTTTTTTGGAAGTGTAAGAGCTATTTCAAGAACACTTTTCTTTTTTTAAATGAAAAGCAAGTTTATTCTGGTACAAAACTTTTGAAACTACTTCATAGATATTTTCAGAATCTGCATTTTTCTTGAACTTCATGAAAGTTCTGTATTTGAAAACACTTGGTAAATTTCAAAGCACTTCATCAGTACAGTATAAAAATAGATATTAGCAAACAATTTGATATACTGAGCAGTTTTTACTGTGTCAGACACTGATAAATTCTTTTTTAGTGATCAAATAACCATATAAGCTAGCTATATCTATTATCTAGATTTTAAAAATGAGGAAGCCCTGGCTTAAACACCAAGGAGCTTATTAAGCTTCTCACCCAAGCAAACACTCTGGCAGTGGCCAGATTAGAATCTGAAGCCAGGAATGGCACTAAATTCCACATTTTCCTTGGATGCTATCCCTTTTAATTTCAACCTGAACCAAGGAGCACTGCAGAAGCAGGATTGCCCCTTTCCCTGCCGATATTCTGGCGGAGTGTCACTGGCTGAGGACTTCCTGTTAGCTCTGGAATCTACCTTGGAAAGGCAGCTGCTTGTGTCCAGGGTCAGGATATGGCAGGGAAGTTCTGCTTAATGCAGAAGTGGCTGAGGCTGGCCTTGCCAGCTCCACCACTCAACTACAGCCCTCGACTTCAGCCACAGACAACCATTAGGAAGTAACACCTTGCCTCCTAAAATTGGAGTTCACTAAGTTTCCATATTATTTCCAATAATTTCTCAGTCATTTTATTTTGAATACTAATGAGCTATGTAGGGAATATACATCCATCTAAATAAATTTCCATCCAAACTAGGATTAGGATGCTGATGGAGTCTCACCAATGAGAAACAAAACAGAAAGGCAGTAAAGATATTTAAGATGAATTTAGTGACTGTATGTGGTGTCTGAGGATACATCAAATACTTTACAGAAAAATGGTACTAAAAACTAAGTTTTTTAATATAAAAGTTTTGTTCAAATTCATGATTAGTTTTCTCATGATGTACATGATTCCAGAAACTTTTTGAAGTCCCCTTTTAGTCTCATAGTTCTCAATCAGAAGTCCCTTTAACAAATCCTCTAAGAATCATGTTTATAATATAAGGGCCTGACGCATTAGGTAGCCTAGTGGCTCTAAGTCTTCACCTTGCACACACTGGGATCCAATATGGGCACCAGTTCCAACAGCCCTGTTCCCGATACAGCTCCTTGTTTGTGTCCTGGGAAAGCAGTTAAGGACTTCCCAAAGCCTTGGGACCCTATACCAACATGGGAGACCTGGAAGAGGCTCCTGGCTCCTAGCTTTGGATCAGCTCAGCCCCGGCCACTGCAGCCACTTGGGGAGTGAATCAATGGATGGAAGATCTTCCTCTCTGTCTCTCCTCTCTGTATGTTTGACTTTCCAATAAAAATAAATAAACCTTAAAAAAAAAATGAAGTGATTGAGGCTGGATTGTGGCAGAGTGAATAAGACTGCAATTCTGACATCCCATAGAGGCGCCAGTTTTAGTGTTGGCTGCTCTGCTTTTGATCCAGCTCCCTGCTAATGCTCTTGGAAAAGCAGTAGAAGATGGTACAAGTCCTTGTGCCCTTGCATCCACATGGAAGAAATGAAAGAAACCGTGCTCCTGGCTTCAATCTGGCACAGCCGGGGCTTTGGAGCTACTTGGGGAGCGAACCAGCAGTTAGAAGATCTCTCTCTTTCTATTTCCTCCTGTCCTTCCCCTGTCTCTGCAATTCTGCCTTTCAAATAAGTAAAAATAAATCTTTTTTAAAAAGTAATTACATGTGAATATCAAAATCATATTCTTATAGACCAACTAATACAATGAAAACACTGGTATTTCATGAATGGTCACCTGCGAATTGGGTAAGTTTTCAAAAACAGAAGTATATGTGGAGACAGTTCTGAAACACAGTTAAATTTATAGGTGACATGAGGTATTTTGGGAATTACCAGATTACTTGGAAGTGGATTTTTATGATGTCACCTATATGAGAAAATGCATGGGAGGAGTTTCTAGCTCATTTCATGGAATGTGAGCATGGGATGGCAATATAGTATGTGATCCAGAGGCCAGACACACCTGCTGCACCACTAGACTACAAAACAGCCTTTCTGGACACATTATTTGTCCTGTGATAGAAAATCATTCTTTACATGGTCAGAAGCTCCACAAGAGTCAGAAAACCTCTTGTGTGACTGTGCACACAAACCCTGACGGGGCAGAGGCCTGCGTGAGAGCACCTGCTGTGGTTCTCTTAACCTTGTGCCTACTGCATCCGATGCACACGATACTGATCCTGTTAATAACCTGTGTATCTATCACCAAACATCATGCTGAAATGAAAGCTCACTTCCAAGAAATTAATGGAAGGGTCACCTGCTATCTTGGCAAATAAGTTTGCCAAGATATAATTAACTCATCTTTAGACTTTCCAAGCAGGTCTGATCTTGCACATCAGTTGTTTTTGTGTGACAAATGGCTCCAGGTGCCTTCATTGCAAGATGAAGCTGGGGAGAGTATATGCTATTTATTGGAATGACGAAAGTCTTTGGACTGAGTATACAGAAACATACAACATATGTAGTCCCGTTTTTAGATGAATTCTGTCTTTCTTAACCAAAGAAGATAAATAGGCAAATAAATAAAGGAGGTTTTAAGGTATTTGTTTTTATGGAATATGGCCAGTGCAAAAATTGGCTTTCCTTTCAAGAGGACTATGCTGGCAAGTTTCATCTTGTTTCTCACAGAAATTCTTGTGATGGGAGTGATAGGGGTTTCAGGTGTGGCTGTGCATTTTGGACATTTTTTCCTGGGCGATAAAACTGACCTGCATTTCATCGGATAATCCTGTCTCGTTGTTCCCCTGGGAACACTAAACAAGTCAAGGGGTAAGGCAAAGGTCAGATGTGTTTTGAGGATTTCTAGAATTCATAAATACTCTTGTATCTAGGGGATAAAATGTACAAAATAAAACAAGGATGTGAGCTCTCAATATATCGTAAAGTCAAGTCTCTCTCACATTTTTAACAGACAATATGCAAACAGCCATGCCATGTGCCCTGGAAGTCTTGGGGATTCCCAACAGACTTGTAGTAAGTTTGTGTTTCTGAAGCAACTTACTGGGTGCAGGGGAAGTGTTCTCTCTGTAATGCTATTAATACTACAGCTTTATTTTCTAATACCAGATTTCTGCAAGTCTCTTTGCTTCCTTTCATTTGTTTGTACTTTCCAGTGAAGAAAAAAGGGTAGCTTCACATGGAATTCTGTTGCCTCTGGCCAAATTTGCCATGTATCATTTAAGCATGTGCAGAGGATAAGCCCTAGTTGTGAAGCATGTGCGTGTGTGTGTGTGTGTGTGTGAGTAAGCTAAATATATTCATTGACTTTGGATACAGAAAAAGGAAGTCTTACGTGCTGTTTTCCAAAAGGTGAACTAACATATTCAGAAGTATCTTCCTAATTTCAGGAAAAAAAAGTTGTTCAGCATTTCCATAAGTGTCTGGCCTAGGAAAGCAGCCTAGGTATTTCAGAAAAAGTCAGCCCAAAGTTGCTAAATTCATATGCCTTTGGTATCCTGAACAAATTACGTACTTTCTTGTGTCAAGGACATTGTCTGTGGTCCTTCTATTTGGTATAACCTTGAAAACTGTCGGGGTTTATTTTGTTACAATTACGTGTAGTTACTAAGTTATGAGGTTTACTCAGGACCTGATATTTAAATCTGCATCCAGTACAATTATGCCTTAGGCCATAATGGAGTTCCAGGTTAATGCTGTTCCTCTACTGACAGGTGAGCAAGTGACTCTCAGGATACATCTGGGTATAGCTAGAAGTTTTATATTTCAATCACAGAACCAAAAATTTCCCTAATACTTTCAATAAAAATCCACTTCTTATTAAGTATAGAGGATCACTAATTTCTGTTTGTCAAAACCAATATAAATCTGATTGGATCTACTAAAGCTTTTATGATATACAATTTTAATAATCTGAGATTTTGCACACATTTAAACCCCAAACTGTAAAAGTACATTTTCTCTAGTTTCCACATTAATTTTTAAATATGATTTTAATTATAAATGAAGATGCATTTTGTTTGAGTTTTCTTGGAAAGAATCTGCAAATATTCTGGATAGAGACCATTCACCAAGCACAAGCAAACTGCTGACATTTTTTTCTAGACCGACACTTGCTCTGCCTTAAGTCTCAAACTATGCATGTGGCGAACCTGTGTGACTTACCTTGTTGAAACAGTGCTCATGATTGGGTCCGTAAAAATGCTGCAGACATCTCACGTTGTTTTTGTTGACAATCTTGTTGAAGAATTCATTGACATATTTGACAGGGAACGCACAGACGGCCGATCGATTCATGGGTTCAGCGGAATCTGGCTTGCTTTGGGCAAACACCCCAAAAAGAATGTCATCGTTCACGCTGGCTCCGATCTGCTTAGCAAGATGGGCCCCAGGCTTACTGACATAGGCAGCCTGAAGGAGATTGAACACTTCCTCCCTGGTGGCTCTCTTCCTCCTTTTTTCCGTGAGAATGCATTCCAGTGGCATTTCCATGTAGGAGTGCAATCCTGAGTCTTTGGAACAGAACCTGATGATTCTTGTGTGAAAAGTTTGAGCGTCAAGGGTTTCCCTTTGGATCGTCAGAAAGTAAATAAAATGGTTGCTTTCGAAGGCATGGATATACTTAATGGGATAGGAATCTCGGAACTCAGGCAGGACATCAATATACGACTGATCTGTCAGAAACTTAAAGCCATCCTGCGTTTCCTTCAGCCTTCTCACTGATATCGAATGCAACGAGTGATCTGGAAGGTAAGAAGAATTTATGGTGTTGCCCACAAAGAAGTAGATGAACCGTTGCTTTTTAGACAGGAGAACTCTGGTTCCCAGGGCACTCACCACGCAGTCCGGGCACTGGCCAGGCTCTTCGTCTGCCTGTGGTGAAAACATACAATGAACCTCTGAGTGTATGTCAGCCGCATTATCAGGTGGGAGAACGTGTCGCTGGCAGGTGCCTCTGTTGACGCTGCCACAGCTAATGAGTTGGTCGTCATAGTACTTGTCAATAAGCAGAGCCAGGTTGATGTTATCTTTCCAAATGGCATTTGAGGAATTGGCTTTGCTGCTGCAGTCCTGACACGGCCAACAGTCCGGATGTTCTAGCACTGGCCCAGTCTTGTACTCAGCAACCTTCTGAAGGTCTTCATCATTTAAAACGTAGATGTGGTTGATGGCACCGAGGTAAATGTGATGCTGGTGTAGAAGGACGTTCTGGATGGGCGTTTCCGCGGTGAAGTTGGGAAGCTGATACTTCATGTGCACATTCATCTCAGACTTCACCAGCGCCTCTTTGCACTCCCCATGGCTCCTCGGCACCAAGGTAAACAGGAGCACAAGGACGCCAGGTGCAAGCACAGCGGGCCCCTTCATTGTGAGAAGTTTATCTGCCAAGACACGTTCAAGGCAAGAACAGTTTAGTCGTCATTAGAAACAAAGAAGAGGGGGGAAAAATAAAAAAGGAAAGAATGACCCCAGTTAAAACTATAGTACATAAAGCTTCCCAGCTGGAATTTCTACATAGAAGAGAAACAAAAAACTCCAGCGGGTTTCACATAAAAAGATGCATTGTGCACTTGGACATGACTCCACATAGCTTAATTTTAGAACTCAAGCCATGAACAAGTAATTTTAGAGAACCATTATGAGATGCAAACAATGATCTGTATTAAAGAAGAAACAGCAACTAAGATAGACTCATTCAACAAGGAAGGAAGAAACACAGGGCATTTCTTTATTAACCCCTTGCTGATTGTTTTATGTGGGTTCAGATCTCTGGCTAATGACTAGGTTGATATTTAAGCTTTCTCAGTCAAGTAAAGGAACTGTGGTTCGGATTCATTTATTCTAGAAATCACAGCAGGCATTGTTTCCTTGGGAGCATGTAGAATTACTAGGCTAAATTTAGATCCCTTTTGGAAGAAAACAATCATAAATTCTAGTAGTAATACCATCACATGCTGTTTATAGGATTTTGTGTGCAGAGGAAAGGTACGATTATATTTTGGCTATAGTTAACCTATTGTTTCAGACAGACAAAAACTCACAATGTCAGACCACCAGGAACCCAGAAACAGCAATCTGAAAATGTATAATATAAAATATTATCTTCAGGACTAAAGCACAACAGATTGTTCATTACCAAGTTGAAAAGCTACTTGGTAAAAAAGAACATGATTTTGACATTCTATTATCTGCACTTGGATGATATTTCCATTAGGAAGCAGGAGAGAATCTTCTCCTTAAAAACTTAAGATGGACAATTTATTAAAAGTGTGCCTTATAATAGCTATTGTCATTTAGCACTTTGGAAAGGAGACGGTTTAGAATGAAAAGAAATTAAAAGACTATTCTCTAAAACTTTAAACTTTAACCTGTTTCTCAAGTCATAATCCCAAAGACAGGCCATTTCTCCCAGTAAATCAGGTAAATCTAGCAGTCATAACTTGATCCCAAATCTTTTTGACTCCAAAATCAAGGGTAATTTTACTCTATTAAATGGAGGCTTTCACTAAGAGGCAATGGAAAGCCACTGAAAAGCTCTGAGCTATGGGACCAAGCTTTTACTCTAAGATTGATGTTAGATTTACTCTAAAATTGTGTTGAAGCCAAGATAGCTTTGAGTAGGGAGACCTTGGCAATCAAAACCATTTAAGTAGCAATAGCTTAAATATATAAATAAATAATAGCCCACGGTGAGTTTACAGGCTTAGCACTAAGGCAGTGGCACCAGGAACAAAAGGGAAAAATGAGAGACATGTTTGAATAAATAGTATTTTCGAACTAAAGGGTGCAGTACCTTAGAGAAGGGAGGATGATGGCAGTCCTGTGGGGAAATGTGGGATCATTTACAAGAGAGTAATTAGTAGCAGGCAGTTAGGTTGAAGACGGGGAAATTTGGCTTTAACAGTGCTGACTTTGATGTGATGATGGGAAATGAGTGAATGGTTTACTACAGGGATGACGAGTAGATTTCGCATTATTCACCAGGAAGCAGGTGTTTGGAATAAGTGAAGAATGAGAATTCCGAGCAGGCAGAGTGTTTGTGCCAAGCAGAAGAGATGAACACTGACAAGCATTTGCAGGGAAAGTTGCCCTTCCTGGGAAAGCAGCTGATGGGTTTTGAATGAGGCGTTATCTGTCTTGGATGAGACAACAGTTGGAAGCATTAGTACCAGGTATCTGCCATCACAGTAGCCAGAAGGAATAAAAATTCAGAACTCAGTTTTAGTAAAGTAATTGAGACTTTGGTTGAAATAGAAACTTACATGCTATTTGCAAAGAGGAGATGGTTGAAGCCAAGAGTGAATATGTCCTTGGAGAAATGAAGTGATAGAAGAGAGGGGGTGAATGAAGCAAACCCTAGGGAATACCCTTTGTTGAGGTCCCGGTGAAAGAGTCCAGGAAGGTTGTGTCAGGCAGGCATTAGGAGAGCCAGTATCATACTGTATGACAGGAGCCAGGCAATGATCTCTGGGAGAACTGGGTCCACATGGAAGCTCTTTGTTGGTTTTCAAGAGAGAAGTTTATATAGATTAAACAGTGATACCAGATGTTAAAAAGCAGTAAGTGCTGAGGAAGTGGGGTGTTTGTCAAAGGAAGGCCAAGTCAAAGGTATTAACAGGGTCAAAGGTATAAACAGGGTTTAATTTTTTTAATCATAGGAAATGCAAATTCATGAAGGGCAAGTGCTTACTAGTAAGACCTTCTTTTCTTCCGCTCACATCGATTCAATGTTCAGAAAGACACAGTGCTGTTCCTACAAATTTCACAACTGCTTGGTGGACACAGTGGGCTTACAGAGTAACACATATGAGAAACAACCAGGGAGATTGGGAATGATGCTGGAGCTGAATCTTTAAGGAGGACGAGGGCTGAAATTTCTGGCAGGCAGAGAAATTTGTGCAAAGTAGAAAGCAAATGGACAGGAAAGCAAGCAAGTAGTTGAGGCTGCAGAAATGAGAAAATCAAAGAGGCAAAGGAGAGATAAAACCATCGGAGCAATTTGCTAAGGACAAGACAGAGATGTGTCTGAGATTACTTGGAACACAAGATCACAGGACTCAGGCAGCAGGAGAGAATGGGAAGTCGGATGAAGATACATATAGGAACACTGAAGGAGGTCAAGACATATGATCATGTGTTTTAAAAATAAATCACAGCATGTGATCATCTGCTGAAAGTGATGGATACAGAGAGACTGGAGAGTGCATAAAGAGGGTAAGAGTAGATTCTGCAGGGCATGCAAGCTATGGTCAGCAAGACATGAGTAAAAGGACTGCTCTGAGGGCTCCTTCAGGATAAAATGTGATGTGTTGTGACTTCCTGTTCATATTCAAGAAAGATGGAAGAAACTCAGAGGGAAAGGTCAAGGATACAATGGCCAGAGAAAAGGGAGCATCTGATTAAGGAAACAGGCTTTGCAGGAATAAGGAAAATGATGAAAGTGCAGTTTGGTCAGAATGCAAAACAAAGCTTCTGGAAAGTGAAGAACTAGAAGAGATATTAACCACTTAGCAATAAAATTAATAATAATGTGGATTGGGTGCTTACCATGTGCCAGGCATGCTGCCAAACCCTCTGATTTACTCTTCACACACCTGTGAAGAAGGAAGTATTATTATCTCCCTATTCTAGATCAGTATACTTGCTAAACCACACAGAACCAGGATTCAGTTCCATGTCTGGCCAACAGGAACTCATCTGTGCTCTGAGTGGTGATGGAGTGTGTACTGCAACAGGAGTTAGACAATCAGACTTCTACTTCTGGACCACTTATACCTCCAGCTGTCTGTCTACTCATTCATCTCTAAGTTTCAGCTACAGTCTCACATGACTCAACTTGGGTCACAAAGAGAGCTTTGAGACAGAGTGTGTATCAATATAACAGGCTGTATTTAGTAATTTTATATATAATTCTCATTGTTTTGAAATGTACTGGGAAATTTTTGGTGCTTATAAAGAGAATGACAAGGCATAGAAAAACAGAAAAATTAAGGACAAGCTGTTGGAGGCAGAGGTTGTGGTACAATGAGTTGAGCCACCACTTGGGATGCCTGAAGCTCACATCAGAGTGCTTGGAATGGAGTTCCACCTTCACTTTACCAAAAAAAAAAAAAAAAAGATTTATTTATTTATTGGAAAGGTCGATCACATTTACAGAACTTTCTCCAGGTCTCCCAAGTGGGTCCATGGTCCCACAGCTTTTGGCCATCCCCTCTTGTTACATGGCTTTCTCTAAGGATTCAATGGGTTAATGCACATGAGCTAGTAAGAACAATGTATGGCCAACAGTAGACAATAAATGTTATCTCCTATCATTGTTTATGCTCTCAGTCATAGGAGCATCTACAAGGTGTCTGGGACCAGGTAGAATAAAAAGGATTCAAAGACAAAAAAAGCATTTTCCAATGGCCAGTGAGCTTAGATCAGGAGACAGACAAAAAACACATGGTGGCTTAAATGCAGTACTGGAAGGAAGGTCCATGGAGCTCTACGGGAACCTTAACCAGGCTAGGGGCAATACAATGGTTTTATCAATCAGTGGTCCAGTCCTCATAATATCATCCTGGTCCTAAAATACAGCATTAGGGAAAAACCTGGTTTTAGCTGTAGTGGCACAGTTGATTATTTGTATGTCCCAGAGCAAATCTGACCTCAACTGCTTTCTTACTTGTGAAATTATAGTGTTGACCCAGGTGTGGGTCAGAGTCCACTTTCACTGCTCATGATATTTTATCATGTGCATCTCTTTCCAACTTCCAATTCAGTCATCTCATCTTGGTGACCCGAAATTAGCCAGGGTGGGAGTATTTATATCATAGAAATTGACACACTGGTTTTTCTCTGGCTGGGAGAATGTTATTTAACATTAACCAGCATACTTCTGGAATGAACTCTGTATAATTCCAAAGCATTTTCCAATTCTAATACTTCTCAATCCTGAGATTGTTTTCCTGCAATTTCATTTAATTCCAGTGCCACTAACTTGGCATAATTGCTTTCACTTTCCCATCTATATAACCTGCCAGATCTGGCTGTCTTGAGCAATTTTCATATTTATATTGGTAGTGACTCCAAAAATAATTCCACTTTTTGCATATTTTTGTCTTGATACATTTATTCTCATAATGTGCCTGGATCAGGCTTTCAACATAAAATGTCTGTTTTTACTGTTTTTGCTGCTTTTTCATTCTGGAAAAGTGCTAGCCATTTAACCAGCTTTGAGTTCTTTACTACAAGGAACACATAAAGATGATTCAAACAGACTGACTAATTCATTCTCTTAAAATGTTGGGCATATATCAGGTGAAACTGAATCACCCATAAAACATTCCTTTATTTCTCTTCAGTTGATGGTTAAGATATTCTCACTGGCAAAACATTT